GCATTGATTCAATTTCAATCCTTCTTGGACGTTAGAATGGGTGATTTTGTGTGCTTAGTGTGATATAGATTAGTTTCGAAGGCCATATGCACAATGGATCATCGCCGGAAATATATGCAGTGGCAGGGTTTCATAGATGCTGTGTACACCCATTGCAAAGTTGAAGATGATAGGGTTTGGTTTGAAAAAACAGTTGGCATTCAAGATAGTGTTGATGGACAAAATTTGCGTATTTATTGGGTCAATTTCAGCGGATGAATTTCGTTCAGTCATCATTAATGAGTCTATCTTTTTATATATAAGGAGGCTATTTAAGTTCATTCCCAAAAAGTTAAATGAGGTTTTTTATGAGGTGGTTAAGTTTGAGTTTGCATAGGAGTAATAGTCTTTATCTTGGTATTAAATTTGATTAAAGTGGAATAAGGTTGATCAATCAGAGTGGGATAAAAGGAGACTTCTAATTGGGCTGAGAGATGAAGTATGAGTGATTATGGCCAGTATTTTGAGCCCAAGACAAAACAAGTCCTGATGGTACTTTGTCAAATATCCACAATGTTGTTGGGCTTTTTAGAGCTCAAGAATTGGGCAAATTTTTTACTTTATGGCCTACGAGCCTCTATTTAGACTACGAAAACCTCTAGAAAGATGACGTAGTAGGAAAAGAGGCTTGAAGTTGTTCTTGCACATGATGATTAAGTCAAAATGGGATTACATTGTTGGTGAATGCAAGAAGTGTCGATAGTAAACTTTGATAAGAGTGATGCAAATGGATAATCTCAAGCAATTCTATTGGCAGGAAGTGATTGGGAAGATTTTGAAGTCAGTGATGCTTCTATGGAAAGGTGCAAGTAGCTATTGAGATTTCGAAAGATTGATGAAGGTCTCATTTTAATATTTAATGATGATGATAAGATATTAGAGACAATTGAACGCGGCAAGGATTGTTTGGGATATTGGGAAATCTCTTTGGAAAAGTTCGAGATCAAGATGAAGAACAAAAGGGCCTATTATCAACATGCAAAAAGAAAACTAGGATTAAGTGCACTTTTGGTCATATAGCATGTGCATTTTGTCCATTTGGCCCTCAATGTATCACATTTACTAATTTGGCCCATAAAGTATCCAATTCATGTTTAAATGGTCCTTAAACTAATGATCTATTAAGTTTTTTAAGGATGTGAACATATCTCAGTCACGTGATATTGTCTGAATAAATGATATGTGGTCGTTTCTGTCAAAGAATTTAATGAATTTTTTATGTACGGATATTGAATTAGATAATGTAGGAACAAAATTAAAACAATGAGGATTAAATTGATGAAAAATGCGCGTATTTTAGGGACCAAAATTGTTATTAACCCAAAAATTTAATTATTACCATTTAAAAAATTGGATTAAATAAATCCATTTACACCTTGGTGAGTTTTCATTGTGGTTATCTAAATCCCGATTTGGATCTTAGGATTCTGATCCAAGTTATTGGATTTGTTTATTAGCCGCATTTACTTAAGTAAACCCCATCAAATGTGAATGCCTTAAATAATTGTGTGCTTATTGGGGAATTTCAAGTTTTCAACGGATAAGAAAAGCTATATAACGTTTGTTTCGTTTATAAAAAGTCTCTTTATTCATTCTTTCTCGTTCAAAAATTAAAAGCAATGATTAAATTTGATTTTCTTTCTTAGTGAGTGATCATAACCGGATGGTCTTCTGTTTTTATTATTTTTTTGCTCTTTTTGTTTGAATGTCGAACAATCAAAGTTATTATTCAACGGTCTTGCAACTTCACAATCTCTGCTCTGTAAGTCTTTCTCTAAAAGTTAAGAAAAGCTACAAAAAATTTGTTTTGTTTATAAAAGGTCTATTCTTTTTCTTTCGTTGAAAAGTTGAAAGCAATGATTAGATTTGATTTTCTCTCTTAGAGAATGATCATAACCAAATAATCTTTCAATTTTTTTTTGCTTTTTTTGTTTGAATGTCAAACAGTTAAAAGTTATTATCCAATATCCTTTCAACTTTACAAGCTGTGTCCTGTATATCTTTCTCTGAAAGTTAAGATCAAAATATTTAATCCCACAAGATTAACAGTTCACCTTTTATTTTTAACCCTCTACAATGCTCAAATTGTAGATTATCAATATTCAATCATTTCTTGAAGTTCTATGTTTTTCATAACATTTGTATTTGCATATATACTAGGCTTGTTTAATTTTTTTTTTGGAGAATTCTATATTTTTGCATATGTTTTTTGTCTCATTTTTTCAGTTTGTAGAATCTTACGATTCTCAATCTGATTCTACAATCCAGAATCTTATAGGCCCCCTCCCTCGAGCCAACATAGGATCCTAATTTTAAAAACATTGCTTTGGCTCTACTGTAACCGATTCCTCTAGCAACAAGACTATAAATTGATTCCTGCACCTATGGGCTTAGGTTCCTTCCACCTTTGGTCTGAACCAGGATGGTTCTTTGGATCTTGGGTCAAAAGAAGGTGGGACATTGATTCATTGGGGATTTTCTCTTGTAAGTCATCACTTGATCTTTTGATGGTGATCATTCTTATCGACTCTTTCCTCACTCTAATAATTTGACAATTGTTCATGGTAAGATTAATATCAATGATGTTCTTCACATCAGCAAATCAAAAGCTTGTATTTTGGCACTGGAGTGCACTATATGTCGTAGTAATTTTGTGATTGTTGATCACCTTTTAGCATTGCTCTACTTTATTGTCTTTGTGGCATAGGCAGATCAATTGGCAAAAAGAGAAATTTTCTTTGACAATGTTGTTAATGATTTGGAAGTCTAAGGCTCCATTGAAGGCAGAAGTTTTTTGCTTGGTTGCTTGCACATAAAAAACTCAATACCAATGATGTGTTACAAAAAAGAGGCCTTCATATTGTCTTCTACCACTATAGTATTCTCTGTGTAAAGGTGGGGAGGAAAGTATGGGTCATTTTTTTTTGTGTTGCTCTGACTACAAATTGTGGAGTAGATTATTGGGATTGTTTGGAATTCCTTGGGTGAGTTCAAAAGATTGTACTTAGATATTTGAGATTCATTTTGACGCCTTTGGTCAAAGCAACAAAGCTAAGATCTAATGGAGATGTGCAATTTTAGCTTTGTTTTGAGGGTGGTATGATTGGAACGAAACAGACGAATTTTTTTAGAGCGAAAGACTTCTTGGGAAGATTTATGGGATAAAATCACTTTCAACGCCTGTCTTTGGGGTACCAAGGTGAATGACTTTGAAGGCATACCTATATATTTTATTAAGGATCATTGATTTCATGTGTGTGCCCGTGGTTGAATCTTGAGATTTTGTTATTGTGCCTCTTTTGCTATGCTCATAGTTTTGCTTTTAACCTCTTTTTAATTTTATGTATCTTATTTGTATGTAACTTTTATCATGAGGATTCCTTGTCCTCTCCTGTACTGGTTGATGATTTTATTGTTGGTTAATAGATTTTCATGTTTCCAATTAAAAAAAATGAAGAAGAAGAAACTGTCTTTGACAAATAGCATTGATGGTAACTGACCAGTGTTTGGATATATAAATTATAGAAGGCACTTTTTATTTTCCTACGTCTTGTGGTATCCTTCCCGTGTGTAAATTGCTGATGCCTCGTAATCATACTGGGGTAATGTATATTTTACAGGCTAACGTCCACATTTCCTCTTTACTTGTTCTTTATCTGGAGGAAGATAAATTAAGGCTGACATGAACAAGATGGTTTTGCGCGAACTGTAATTCCGATGCTGGCCGCAACTCTTCATTCAAATGTGTTGTCTTAAAGAACTAGCTGGCTGTATCTCAGTGGTTATGGTTTCATACTCTTTAGAAGTTTTCCATACCAAAATCTGACAACTTTCACTGTAGGATATTGCTTCATTCAACAATAGTAAATAGAAGCTCCATTTGCCACAGCAACTTTGGGCCTTTAAACTGAAATGGAATCTTTGTAATGCAACCTCTAAAGTCAAGTGTGCAACTTGTGGAACAAAACTAACTCTTTTCCGGTAATTTTAGGGGACAGTCTTATATGCTGCCATTAATTATTGGTGGGTTGTAGATAACCCGTTTGTTTTGTGTCTCACCCTTTTGCTTCTATATAAGTACCATTAGCACTGGTATCTGTGCTCCCAGATAGAACTCTCTAATGTCACATTTCAATGATAAAGAATATGCTGATTTTTGGAAAAGACTATAAGAATCTTTAAACTGATAAAAATCAGAGACTAGAACTAGCTTTAGGAGAAAACAAACATTTTGCTCAACTTTTTCTTTCAAATTTTTTGGGAGTGTTGTTTGTTTTTCTTTTTGGGGTGGGGGGTTGGGGGACACAATTTTGCATCCTCAATAGGTTCTAAACTGGCCCTACATCCACTAGTTTTCCAGTTTTAGCAGCCTAACATTTATGGTACTTGTTGCTTATTGAGACTGAGATACGATACGAGTGTCTTCAACTGATAACTGGTGATTAGACATATTTCTAGCATATTTTGGGAGTCTGCTATTTGGGATTTCATGTTTACTTAATACATCCAGGAGGAAAAAAAAAGTTGCATTATTAGTGCTAACAAGTATTGCTGAACGGGGGCAGAAACAGTGAAATTTTCTGCTTCCCTTTGTTTTGTTGTATGGTTTTTATCCTTCCCCCTTCACTATAGGGCCATAATTAAACAAATTAAACTGAAGCAGAAACTTCTTTACTATAGGGCCATAATTTTCTTGGTTTTCCTGCTTGATTAATTAGTAGACATAATTATTGAGTTTTGGTTTCTGTTTTCTGTTGCTATATGTTTATAACAAACATCTTTGTGTTTCTAATACATCCACATTTACGCATTTGGAAACTGTTATGCCAGAGGCTGCAAAGAAGAAGAAGAAGAAAAATAAAAGCAAGTGAGGCACTGTTTGTAATTTCTTATAATTTTTGTTCTTGTTCTTGTTCTACATTTGAAAACAGAGGTCGAGTAATATTTTTTTCTGTGTGCAGGAAGAAAAAAGAGTTGCCAGAGCAGACTGATCCGCCTTCTATTCCTATTAGTGAACTCTTCCCATCTGGGGAGTTTCCCGAGGGTGAAATTCAACAGTACAAGGACGAGTACGTAAATGCTAGATTTTAGTTGCCTGCAACCTCTTCCAGTCTTTATCAGTTGTACATCAATTTCTTTGTTGTAAAATAAGTACATTGTTAAACAACCATCTACTCCAAAAGCATAAACTGTTAGAGAGAGTGTAACTTAAGTATTTATTCTTTAACACGCCTCTTCACGTGTTGAAGAATAATCTTTGGGCCTAGCACATGAAAATCTGTTAATAATTAAGGTGGCGGCGAGTTTTGAGCATCTGACTTCCTGCTCTGATACTATGTTAAACAACCATCTATTGTAAAAACTTAAGCTATTAGAGAGGGTGTAATTTAAGGATTTATACTTCGACATACATAAAACAATCAAGAAGCTCAAATATTCAAATAGTGTAGAACAAGAAGAGAAAACTCAAAACAATGCAGCTTAAGTTGGTTGGAAGGAATAATTGGGCATTGTGGATGGAAAGGGTGAAAGCTTGCTTGATTTATAAGGTAATGGTTTATTGTTCAAACTTCTTAGATGGTTTTAGGGCAATGGTAAGAAGGTTTGATGTGTGTGGGGCCGCATGAATTTCTACACAACCTAGCCAAGAAAGCTGTGGTCATCCTTTAACTGGTCAAACAATATTTCTTTGTATTGCGTGGCCAGATTCTACCACTTGAGAGGATTAAAGTTTTTGCTGACCAAATTCAATCGATCATTAGTGCTAAATACCTGGTTCCGCAAAAGCTCTAGTACCAATGGTCAAAACAGTGGTTTTGTACTCTATCCACATTGTCTCCTCATTTAACCTTGTGCCACAATGCCATGGGTTCCGTCCTTTTGTTTCGATACTGTGAGCTTGAGGTTTGTTTGATAGAGAATCAATTAAGTTTGTTTGGACATGTAGATCAGTAGATGCACCAGTGTGAGAGATTCTGATTACCTGTTGTAATACTGTCAATGGAATGACGAATTTGACATTGAATGATAGTGGAAAAAATATTGTTGATTATAATTTAACTGACAATATGCCCCTTAATACAGGAGAATGTTAAACAAGGATTTAGGCAGTTTATTGGTTTGGGTTTGGTTTGGTTTGGTTGTGCACAGAAGCATCAAATTCAGTATATTTAAATCAATTGCTTATTGGACCACGTGTTTTCAATTTGTTGCATCATCTTTGTGGTTATATCTACTTGGTAATATCATGGATCAAAGTTTCGTTTCGGTACATTGTTTCGGTCACCTAGGAAAATGAAACATTTCGACGTATTTCGGAAACGTTTCAACCTGTTTCGAAAATATAATAAAAAAATTAAGAATTATTTTTCAAAACATTGTTCGAAATATATCAAAATATCTTGAAATACCTTGAAGCATTCCAAAATAATTGTGTTAATGCATTAAAATATAACAAAATATTTCGAAACATTATGGAACACCTCGAAGTATTAAATTTTCGATTCTATCGCTGATTTGTTTTGGTCTATAGAAACGGAAATGTTGTGGATGTTTCGACCGTTTCGAAACGATATTTTGATCCTCGGGTAATATACTATGCAATGCATCCAATGTGTATCCAGTCAGTTCAAAAAAAATGTATATCCAGGTTAAATCACGTGCATCGTATGTATATCCGGTTTTAAATCAGGTGCATCCTATATATATCCAGTGTTAAATCACATGTATGCTTCTCTCGACTTTCATTTTGAATGCTTATATCCTGCTGAATGACATTATAGATATTGTTTGGATGAATACAACTGCATTTATTTTATCCATCCCAAGTTTTACTCGAAGTCTTCATGAATTTGTGTTGCTTCCTATCTGCATTATATCTTTCTGTTTACCGTATTTCGGAATTGAGGGTCTTCATTTTAAATTGATGGTTCCACCAGTAACTTATGGAGGACCACATCCGAGGAAAAGAGGGAGTTGGAGCGCCTGGAGAAACCCATTTATAATTCAGTTCGACAAGCAGCAGAAGTTCATCGTCAGGTTGCTATGTATCTTTTTTGTGTTTTTTTTAGCATACATGTGTGCTTCTCTCCCTGTCTTTTTTTCTCCACTTCTCTGTCTGTGTATCTATCTCTGGCTGTTAAAAATTTTCCAATTCTCGACATTGACATCATGCTTTACTTCATGCTAGGTACGCAAATACATCAAGAGTATTTTAAAGCCTGGGATGTTAATGACTGACCTGTGTGAGACCCTGGAGAACACTGTCCGTAAGTTGATATCGGAGAATGGTCTACAAGCAGGCATTGCCTTCCCTACAGGATGCTCGTTAAACTGGTAAACATTATTTAGATTGGGGATTCAATAATTCCTACCAGTTATGTGTTCTTTCCCTCATTCGTTTTTTTGTGCGAACCTCATCTCATTGTCAGGGTTGCAGCTCACTGGACCCCGAATTCTGGAGATAAAACTGTGCTTCAGTATGATGATGTGATGAAATTGGATTTTGGAACTCATATTGATGGTAGTACCATTAGTAGTATTGTACTTTGTCAGTTTTTTGTTACCTTATGTTGTTGATTTTTTAGTTTTAATATCCATGGGCCACTTTTTTGGTGGTGTTATACATGCAGGACATATAGTTGACTGTGCCTTTACAGTGGCATTTAATCCTATGTTTGGTCCTTTGCTTGAGGCCTCACGTGAAGCCACAAACATGGGTATCAAGGTGGTTAACACTACTAACCTTAAATCCATGTTGTTTTTGCACTATAAATCAAAACTAGTATGCAGCCATATATGATAGTTGCATGTGCGTTAATGGTATTAATACTTTGTTGTGTTTTATGTAGGAGTCAGGAATTGACGTCCGCCTTTGTGATGTTGGTGCTGCAATCCAAGAAGTCATGGAATCATATGAGGTGGAAATTAATGGAAAGGTGTTTCAAGGTATGATTTTTGTTGAAGATGGGAATTGGTGTACATCTGTTTAATATGACAGTTAGGAAGTAGCATTCTGAACTTATAAAAACACAATAACAGTCAAGATTGATCTAATTTTCATTTACTTTGATCTAATGGTACAAAATTTATCCAAAAAAATTGTCTTGCTCAAAAAATCCACTTCTTTGCACAACCTCCAACATCAGACAATTCATCAAACACAGTCTCAAATGCCAAATAAAACCCCATTAATCTACACCTATCTCTATTTTCTCTCTCCCCTACCTCTTTCTTATTTTCTCTTTGTTGACTTTAATTTAAAATGCATAATATAAGGGAAAAAAGGAAAAATAGTTTGTTATTTAAAATATAAATATTGCATGGATCAATGTTTGATTTTGTTATTGTAGGTTGTTTGCAGGCAAGGTTATTGCTAGTCTATTCATAGGAGACCAATAAATGGGACAAAATGCTTGAACCTCTACATCTCGAAAACTTGGAGATCAGTTCTTAATGATCAATCAAAATAACTTACTTATGTATCAACCCACCAATTTACGCTCATCGTGATCCCTACAAACTTGCATTGGTTTGGAGAGCTATTAAGACGAATATAGGCTCATGATTGGGCTATATAGGTTGGTGAAACGAAAATTCAATTTATCCCTCTAAACCAAATGGATTTTTGTTTGGTGTGCAAGGTGCAAAGTTTACTTTTGCACTCAAAATTCAGTGTTTTCCCAGTGGCTATACAGTGTGGTAACATCATTGTTGCTCGACCACCCCAGCCCGTGCTCTTCATTGTTTGTCACTTTGTTGGATCAACGGATTTGGATTCACGCCAACCCCTTCTCCAGCTATCCTAGTAGCTGCATTAATTTATTGTTGCAAAAAATAAAATTTCATGAAAATCTGGATATGCATGCTATTGAAGCCCCTACCAATCCAAAAGGGGGCTGGTGAGCATCGTGTAAAAGTTATTAGTTGAAGGCACCATTTGTGGTAGAATCTCAACTTTTCCTACCTCTTACTTATATGCTAATTAGCTGGTTTAAATTTTCTTCTTACTTAGAGATGCTTAGTGGGGGAGATTATGAGGTCCTCTACTTTTTATGTGGTGAGTTGGGATAGGAAGGGTAGAACATTGAGTGAGGGATTTTTTTTTTTTTAGGGGGGGGGAGGAATTTGGGGTGATGAAGTTGTGAATATTCAATATTCAATCAGGTCTTGCTTGGGAAATTACTATGGAGATTCACGGTAGGCAGGGAAGCATCAAAGTCTTATGGTGTTGGGGAGTATAGGGAAAAATCCTAGATGCACATTTAGTTTAGGGTAGAGCATGGGGAAGTGTGAGATTTGTTGTATGACAAGTAGTGTTGAGAAGGCCTACTTGCTTATGGATTATGGACCCTCTTCATGGTGGCCTCCAATACGGAGGCATCTGATTGGGAGTTTTTATGCAGTGGTACACTGATGTGGCATCCTGCCTTTGGAGGAATCAACACGATTGGAAGAGCAGCCAGTGGTGGAACTACTGGGGCATTTGTGGGGGGTTGAAAGTGGGATTGCCTGAGTGCTAGATGTTGTGCTGACCAAGTTATTATAATAGTTGGAGGTTTACAGTGAGGTCTGTCATGATATGCTGAGTGGGGAAGAGGTGGTACCTTTTCCTTGGAAGGGGATAAGAGTAGCAGCTTTAGATTCTCTATGTATTTGTCTGAAGATAAGTCTGCCCGTTTCCATCTATTTTTTTCCGTGGCATGAGAGTTGTGGTCATTAATGTTCTCATCGGTTTACTTTGCGCAGCTTATGCCTAATTATTATTTTGTTGGTCTGTAAGGAAGAAATGGAATGGGCAGGGATTTTACAGTATAGAGATGTTCATGGATAGGTTAAAGACTCAAAGCAATACTTTTTGTACCTTTTTGATTTTTGTGTCAAGGGTTACTTTTTTTGCAGCCATAGTCCCATTATTGGAGTTTTTGGAAGAGAACTATTAAAAATTGGAATTCCAAAATTCAGTAGAAGAAAGAAATAGAGCAATCGCCTGGAAAAGAAAATTGAAAAAGAAAACCAAATGAACCATAGATAAAAACAAGTCAATCACTGCTCATAATCAGACTTCCAAATAACAATGGAATACCTACAAAATCCGGAAGAACTAAAGCCCAAAAAGATAGCAAAAACCAAATTCTCCCCCAAGATCAACCCTCTTCAAACTTCAAAAAAAAAATTCAATTCTTTCCAACCAATACCATATATCTCCAGAGGGTGCAAGTTTTCTTACTCTTCTAATTCCCAATAATCACTAACAAGCATCTAAACACGCGATCATTAGAGACCCAACCTCTGCTAGACCAATAAGAGCATTGACTGTGTACGAACAGATGATTAACAGTCTCCTCACTTTTTTGCAATTAACACAGCGTTGTTATTTGCAGCTGTCAACTTTGAGAGTTGCCTTACAAATCTTTGAAGGTGCAAATTATGGTCATCTAGAACCATCAACAAGGAAATCCAAGAAAGAATTGCAGGAGAAAACCCCTTAAGAATTAACCTACCATAAGTATTCTATCAGGAACTGATTGTCTTAGGAGACCCCATTCAATAAGGATAAAAGAGGTGATAACTCAATGCCTCCTTATCATTTAGATCCCAAAAGAAATGAATTCCAGTTAATGGGAAAATCAAATGAAAACACCATAGAAGCCATTGAGGCATTATGAGTGTGAGACAATCTGTACAAACGAGAAGATGAGATCACCTTACCTGTTATAAATTCTGGTTAAATAATGTGACCAAGTGATGCTCCTTTACCTCCATTAATGCACTTTTACGTATCCAAAAGAATATGTATTTGTCATCAGATTTGAAATCCTGCACTTTCAGCTTAAACTTGTGATCAGTTCTGAATTGATCATCTTTGCCATTATAAGATACATGCTTCGGAACCCAAACATGCTCTCTACCAAACCCTAAACCCTAGCAACCCAAAACACTCAAACACCAAAGTTACTACTTCCGGATGGCTGTTCACAGTGGACAACAGTTGCTGAAAAAACCGTTAAAACTTGCTTCTATTTACCTCGCCCTCGCCCTCGTCCTCGTCCAAACAATTCCCATCAATCCCCAAACCTTTATCGTTCTTTTGGCTAGGGTTGTCAATGTGTCGTGTCTAAGTCATATTGTGTTAAAATTTGCTCCAAGTGTACTTGGTTCATTTATAATTGTACATAGTCGGGTTCGTATTGTGTAGAAGTCAAGTTCATCGAGATTGTAGTTGGCTTGTGTCGATCCATTTATTTGACAAGTTTAATGGTCCACTCATGTATCACCCAAATCTGCTAAAACTAAGTTCAAACTCGCTAATTCACTGTTGGGTCTGAGGGTCGCGTCTAATTTTTACCAAGTCTACTTTTGGCCTTCATTTTACTTCCACTTACCCTGAAAGCTTGCAATTCTGATTCAGAATTCCTGCTGCTCTATATCTAGTTTGGTGACTTAAGTAGTGTGAAAGTGTTTTCCATCACTTGTTCTACATCGCATTGTACTACTACTGGTTTTAACACTGTCATGCAATCAGTGTTCAATACGTTTATTAAATGTTTCTAGAGACTTGTAACTGTGCATAGTGCTCTCTTATTCATAATCAGTTTTTCTCTTTCATGATATTATACATTTGTGAGTGACTCTTTCTAATTAACTATAGGAAAAAACTTATTCTTGGCCCTAGGAAATCCAACGGTAGGAAAAGAATGGAGCTGAACAGCGTAGCAATGCCTGCCCAAGCCATAAAATCCTACTATTAGTCATGCTGTTCTTTCAAATCCATCAGCATTGCCACCGTGCTTTATACTTTATGCCTCCTGAGCGGTTGAATTAAATTGGTTGCATCTGCCTTCCTGTTTAGTGAATCTCTATTCTAGCATTTTGTTTTTAGAATTTTTGTGGGGAACATTTAGAATAAAATATTTTTGGTCAGCAGCTTGAAGGTTCTAATAGTTGTCGCTGGGGGGTTACTTGTAAATTCAAACTTTCGGTATAAATGCATTAATTACTATTTCCATAAGAAATTGAAAGTTGAAAATGGAATCTATTCATGGGCAGAGGAAATATTTTCAAATGACTTAAACAGTAGCTACTCAGGAACTACTGTTGTCACTTAAGTCCTTTTGACTGTGACATGTATGGAGATGGTAAAATTGATCATTGAATACTTCTATAAGTTCTTTCTTTCCGTTTTATTTTATTTCATTTATTATATATATATATATATATATATATATATATATATATATATATATATATATATATTTGTAAATTTTCCATCTCTTTCCTGTGTAAATTGATTTATAATGGTTACTGGATTATCAGGCCAATTGGACACTTTGACCACAATTTTGGGTTTTATGATGTGTTTGGCTGTTAAGGGCATGGGATTAGATAGTTAAACAAGGCTAAACCAGATACTTGGACACTATTTTGACATTTCACTGTTTGTTGCATATGAGCCTTTAAAACCAAAGTTTGAGCTGTTTTTAAAGCTCAAAATACGTGTAACTCTGACAATTAGATAAAGGCTGTCAAAATTTTGGTAAAGGCTCACCAAAGCAAAGGCAAAAAAAAAAGAAGCATAGCTGCATCACAAGTGACAAAAACATGGAAACTAGAAAAGAGAAAATTAGGAATTTCTCATGGAGAAGAACATTGATTTGTAGATTGGTCTAGAGTGTCCCAGTAATTAAAGAGCCAACTTCTCAAATTTGAAGTCATAGTCCTATTAGATTAGGAGAGCCTGGAAACTAAAGTACCTATGTAACATTTTTATTCAATAGTATATCTGAGTTTTAATTGGAGTCTTAAATAAGCCTAGAATAGCCCTGGTAGTCAAAGAGTTGAGGTTTCCTAATTTGATGTTGTAGCCCTATTGGTATTTGGAGAGCCCAGCAGCTTATGAAAACATATATAATTTTGTCATCCAATAAAAAGTATGAGTAATGCTATTGGGACCTAAAAAATTGATGTACTGATGTAACTGTAACATATTCCAATAGTGGTGTTGTGATTGTAACTGTTGGGACTTCTTTATTGGGGCTCTATCACTTGACACATCATTAGCATTACAGTATTGCATTAGGAATGATTGGCTTAATGTGTTCTCTTCTCTTCTTCCTGTTCTTAGTTTTCTATTATTCAGATCTGAACTTTTTCTTTTCCAACCTTAGAAAACCAAATGCACAAAGCTCTAACATTCTCAACTTCAAATACTCCATCATAGCCACCAAAACCACAGAATGAGTCAAGTTTGCTGTTCACACTCCTAAAGCCCCTGAGCTTTGCCCATTATTGCCTTATTACAAGCTTGCAAGCTCCACCCCTTCCTTCTCCATCATAAACTCCNTGGTTACTGGATTATCAGGCCAATTGGACACTTTGACCACAATTTTGGGTTTTATGATGTGTTTGGCTGTTAAGGGCATGGGATTAGATAGTTAAACAAGGCTAAACCAGATACTTGGACACTATTTTGACATTTCACTGTTTGTTGCATATGAGCCTTTAAAACCAAAGTTTGAGCTGTTTTTAAAGCTCAAAATACGTGTAACTCTGACAATTAGATAAAGGCTGTCAAAATTTTGGTAAAGGCTCACCAAAGCAAAGGCAAAAAAAAAAGAAGCATAGCTGCATCACAAGTGACAAAAACATGGAAACTAGAAAAGAGAAAATTAGGAATTTCTCATGGAGAAGAACATTGATTTGTAGATTGGTCTAGAGTGTCCCAGTAATTAAAGAGCCAACTTCTCAAATTTGAAGTCATAGTCCTATTAGATTAGGAGAGCCTGGAAACTAAAGTACCTATGTAACATTTTTATTCAATAGTATATCTGAGTTTTAATTGGAGTCTTAAATAAGCCTAGAATAGCCCTGGTAGTCAAAGAGTTGAGGTTTCCTAATTTGATGTTGTAGCCCTATTGGTATTTGGAGAGCCCAGCAGCTTATGAAAACATATATAATTTTGTCATCCAATAAAAAGTATGAGTAATGCTATTGGGACCTAAAAAATTGATGTACTGATGTAACTGTAACATATTCCAATAGTGGTGTTGTGATTGTAACTGTTGGGACTTCTTTATTGGGGCTCTATCACTTGACACATCATTAGCATTACAGTATTGCATTAGGAATGATTGGCTTAATGTGTTCTCTTCTCTTCTTCCTGTTCTTAGTTTTCTATTATTCAGATCTGAACTTTTTCTTTTCCAACCTTAGAAAACCAAATGCACAAAGCTCTAACATTCTCAACTTCAAATACTCCATCATAGCCACCAAAACCACAGAATGAGTCAAGTTTGCTGTTCACACTCCTAAAGCCCCTGAGCTTTGCCCATTATTGCCTTATTACAAGCTTGCAAGCTCCACCCCTTCCTTCTCCATCATAAACTCCAAAGTTCCGTAATTTGGCAACCCTTTTAAGCCACAAAAAGCCATGCAACAGTCCTTTGACCCTATTCTTCCTCTTCCAACATCAGGTTCTCCTATGATCTTCTGTTGAAGGATGTTTCTCACACTAGTTCTACATCAAAAAGCATTGCACTGTTCTACAATATTGCCTCGAGAGATTTCAAGCACTTCAAAATCAATGCTTTTCTCTGCCATTCATGTTTAATTTTGTTCTTTGAATGAGTTTTAAGGGTTATGTATGTTTTGTTCATGCCATCTATGTCTTCAGTTCACATGCAACATGTTGCATTAGGTGTAATGGAATTGACTGTTTTGGCAGTCAAAAGTATCCGAAATTTGAATGGGCATAGCATTGGAGGCTATCAAATCCATGCTGGAAAATCAGTTCCAATAGTGAAAGGAGGAGAACAAAGAAAGATGGAAGAGGGTGAATTTTATGCAATTGAAACCTTTGGATCTACTGGTAAAAAAATTCTTCACATGGGTACTCTTACAAAGAAGTAAACTTATGGACTGAGGAGCCCTATGTTGTGGGCAGGGAAGGGGTACGTCAGAGAAGATCTAGAATGCAGCCACTACATGAAGAATTTTGATGTTGGTCACATTCCATTGAGGTTGCCCAGAGCAAAAAAACTGCTTGCGACAATCAACAAGAACTTCTCCACGCTGGCCTTTTGTAAGCGTTATCTAGATCGCCTTGGGGAGACCAAGTATTTAATGGCACTGAAGAATTTGTGTGATGTTGGTATTGTTCAGGTATGTTTTCATGAACTGTTTGTCTACCAATATTTATTAAGATTTGCAGAGTGAGTAATGTTTATCATGTGACTCAAACATGTAGGCTCCTATTGCTATCAATTGATGCTGTTTGGAATAATCTATTTTCTGATAGGTTCCTCCCTACTACTATATGCTTCTATCTGTTGCTGATATGAGTTATATATAGTGATCTTGTTTATTCCATTAATTTGGCTGTAAGAATTACATTTGAAGTTTCTTGTACTTATTCTTCTTTTCCAGTCAGAGATTACAGTATATATTTCAAATCACATGATGTATGACTGATCCTTGCACTTGAATTGTAGTGCCATTGAAGGTGACTTTCCACATGACTTCTAACAAACAATCATGCAATTCAATTTACCTTACTGCTGATGTTGCTATTACATACCGTTATTGGATTGGAACTATGCTCAAATTGAAACATAAATGGAGGTATACCATAATATTAGTGCAAGTATCTCAAGTTATCTCCAAGAAAGGGGATCTTGTTCTTCAATCGTTGTCTCTTGAAACTAAAAGGGTTTATCGATGCAGTCTGGTCAGGTTGAGTGGGTGATAGAACATACTTCATGTTACTGCACTTTGATAGGAGGAAGCTTTATCAGTAAGAAACTAGCTTGTGAGTTTATGTGGGGCTTCAAATCCTATTGGGAGAGCTATGAATTCACGAGGGTGGACCTATAGACTACATTTTGATAGTAAAGTTGCTATCAACATTACTCATAATCAAGTTCTGCATGGTAGACCCACAGGTTGTGATTGACCGACATTGTATTAAAGAAAAGCCTAAGGAGGGTTTAAGTTGTGTGCTCTTTGTGAGGTCAGCTAGCGGATGTTTCACCCAAGGGGCAAGACTTTTTCACCCCCATTGTTTGCAAGTTAGGCATGAGGGATATCTATGCACCAATTTTAGGAGTGTTATATTGTGTTTTATTTTTAGTTTATGGGTATTCCTGTACTTTGGATAATCCTTGTGTTGATATATGCATTGTAGTTGTGTTGTCTGACACACTACCCATAACATAATATTTTTCTCTTCTCTACTAAAATCGTTCTATTCTTCTGAAACCCCTAATACTTCATAACATTTTATTAATATATTCAACATCTAATAGGAGAAAATGTCATTAATGTAGTTGATGCTGGTCTCCACCGAGGAAAAATGAACGAATCGATTAAACGATAGTTTTGGGATCAAATGTTTAAATTAATGTAAGAAAACAACTGTAAAAGTGAAAATAGTATTAGGAGGTCTTAACAATCATCTCGGTAAAGTATGTTTAGATTATCCAAAAGAAGAGTGAACATGTTGTAACTTTTTGAAGTGGATCGACTTGGAAGCAAATATATTATTTTTTGACAGGAGGAGTAGAGTAGTTAGTTGATAAAGATTCTAATGATTTTTTTAAGAGACTTTAACCTCGCAACATGAACTAACATTTATGGGTATGTTTGTTGAAGGACAATTTTTTTAAAAGATTATTGCTTAAATATATTTTAAATAATTTTTGGTATATTTCATGGTGGTCACCCTATATATTTTGTGTTCTCCCTATCAATTTCTTTTTCGATCAAGTAGTAGACACATATCTCATTAATATGAAATTTTGGACACACTTTACGAACACAACTAGACTAGTTTTGATATATCAAATTTATTTTTTAAAAGTATGAAAATTGTGAGAACAAAGTTGCATAATTACAAAATGATTTAATTATTTATATTGAGAAATATATTTTCTATAGTGTTGATAATGAAGTTATCATATAATGCTTTTAAAGTATGAAAACTCATTGAGATCAATTGTAAATAATTGCAATTACCCTCTTTTTATTATTTTTCTTTGTATAAGTTATATCGACGTTGGACCGTTTTGTATCTAATGAATGTTTGAGTATCAAATATACTATAATAAGTTTAAATGTGTTATGGTACTTTTATTGATTGGAAAAAAAATTAAATTTATAGTTAAAGTATCCACTCTAAACAAAATTTTGGCTCTGCCCCTACATCAGTTATGGAAATCTGGTGGTGAAATGATGAAGTGAAAGTTGTATATTGATAACAAAAAAGGAGTGTGTTAAAAATTGGTGAATGAACAAGGACTTCAATTTGAAATAGCGGGATTAGTGCCGAAGGGGAAGTTAAAAAGGCATATAGAGATGATAAATATTAGGCATATAATGGTCTTTATGCTAAATTAGATGCAAAAGATGGAGAAAATTATTCACAAACTTGTTATGGTAAGAGAATGCAAAAAAAAAAAAAAAAAGAAAAACAAGGGAAAAAGATGTTAATCATGTTGAGGGTGTTGAGAGTGAGGATGAGGCTCTTGGTAAATGATGAGAAAATCAAGTAAAGATGGAAAGGTGTTTTGAGAAATTGTTGTAAAAGTTAGACCGAAAGCATAGAAGGTGAAAAATATGGTGGTAGTCCTCGTGGAGCTATAGATAACGTTATTCTTCATAGAACCATAAAATTTGCCTTGGATGGTGTTTGCAGTAAGATGCAATCAAGAAAGGGTTCAAGACTCGTAATATTCCTATTAAGGCTTGGAAGTGTTTGGTGGACGGGATTTTTTGGCTAACAAAATTAAAATAGCTAATGAGTGGATGAAGAGTATTCTAATTGCACAAATTGTTGAGGTATCAAACTGATAGAATTCAGGGAGAATATGGTTGAGGACTGATCAAAAAATTAAAAAACCATAACGAATGAGTTAGGGCATGCGTGGGAGGTCAGCAATGAAAGTTATATTTACTGAGCAGACTGATAGAATAATATGGAGAGAAAAAATAAATAAATATTTGTGGTGCTTACATAGTTTTGGAAAGAGCTTATCATAGAATTCCTGCAGATGCAGAAGGTGGATTTAGAGAAATGTGGTGTTACTGTGTGGGATGGTTTTGTTTTGTTTTGTTTTTATTATTTAGGCTTGGTCGTTAATAAGATGGAGAGATTAGAAATAGTGCTAGGTAGCTTGGCTCAAGTGCAGTAGTGCTTCTAGCATATAGTGAGATCAACTGGTATTCGCAGAATTGAAAGGGAAGTTTTTATTTTAAGAATATATGCTTCATGGGACAAAATACTAGGCAGCTTCAAGTTCAAAAAATGAGTAGGTAAAAGAAAGACAATAGTATGGATATCGGTTAAGACAAAAAAATTTGTAGCACTAAATTTATACTTACGTGAGACAGTAGGAGCATCAATTTAAGATCAAATAGGGAGAACATAGATGAGGAAGGCAGCATTGATCAATAGGTGCGATCTGATCACCATCAGTAAAAACACTAAGGAAAGGAAAAGATACATAGCTATCCTTGCACTAAGAGGCTTACAGTTTGGGTTCTATGTAAAATAGGTTAGGGATTGGCAGAATTTTGTATGAGATATTTTGAGTGTAATTCATGATTGTAACTGTAGATTAGACAAAATAACAACAAAATGTAAAATGGGTTAGGGATTGTCATAATTTTGTAAGAGAGATCTTAACAACAAATGAGTATATGTAAATAAAAATTATTCATGGCTCTCGATAACCAAAGTTCACTGATTGCAGAACAAAATCCATGCTCAATATTCAATAAGAACTGAAGTAACCCAAGTATAAAAGTTCATCCCACAAACTTCAGCTTGTGCAAATCTGGCAAATCCATTCTTTTGGAGGCTAGGATTTTCTTAGTTTTCATTTGATTGATATGTATAGGATAGAGGCCAATCTGGTAGAAGTTCTGGCCATCTACAGTACTTCTAGAAGATTAGGCCTCCTGTGATTTCTTTTGAATCCAGTAATGCTCTTTGTAGAACTGGACTTGCTCTTTTTTTGCAGATGTAAATTTTGCCACTTGGGTGGTTGTATTTTTGCACAGTATCAATACATTTTACTTACCCACCCCCACCCCCCCACCCCCAAAAAAAAAAAAGAACTGAAGTAACTGCTGTCTAGGTTTACTTTAGTTATTGCGCTTTGGGGGATGGCATACATTTATAGGAAGTAGTCTCTAATTAAAATGGATAAAAGATTTCGGATGTAACTAATTACTTTGTGTTGCCTTTATGTATTAAACTTGGCTTTCAAAAAAGGAAAAAAGAAAAAAAAAAAAAAAGAAAAGGAAAAGCAAGACCCAAGAATTTGGTATTTCACGAGTTTGTGTTCATGAACAGTGCACAATACTAATCAAACATATTTAAAGATAGGAGATTTAAAGAATCAACAACTATCATAAATATTTGTTGTATACTGACAGGTGGTTGGTTGAGGCTGTCAAAATCCATCATGTATATTCAACCACTTGGAGACATGAGATGAATTTGTCCAACTTATTGTAGCTACTAGCTCATTTTATATATATCATGGAGAAGGTGTCTATTTGTTTTCTGGATAGAACTTAGAAGGTCTCACATTGGCAAATACTGACTATGAGTATATGTTACATGAAATTATAAATTCTAACATACATACTTATAACTGGACTACAATAGTAAATATTTAGAAGGTGAACCTTCAATTGTTTCGAGTAACATATTGAGGGGGTTCTTGTGTTTTCTAATTGATTCCCTGCTTAACATGCCCATAACTAGCCTCAGTCATATCAAAGAGGAATGGCCATCACATAATGCAGTTAAGGTAGCTTATATGTCATTATAGCAAATGCATATATCTGTAAAGCAGATATGAATAGAAGATGTGTTGTGGAATGCCTTCCATTTTTATGTTATTCTTCTAATGCCTAGAGATTGATGAAGCTTTTCTTTCGTTTTATATAAAGAAAATGTTTTAAAAAAAAATTGTTGTGGGCAAGAAAATGAAAACTTACTTTGAATTTTCAGATGGGATCCCTGCAATTTCTGGATAGAAAATTGAATAATTTATCTTGTGCACATAGCCATCTATTAATGGAATTCCGTTCACTATTGTTACATTGTAGCTTTGAACTGTTTTCTTTCTTTTTCCCTAGTTGGGTGTGTTCTGTACCATTTGTTGTGTTCTTAATCTCTACATTAATTGAATTGATGAAATTCCTTTATTGTTTATTTTTGACAGCCTTGTCCTCCCCTTTGCGACGTTAAGGGTAGCT